AGGTGGTGTGAGCACAGATTAGTCCTTAAGACCACATTTGGGACTGACACCATTTTAGGAGAAGGATTTTTTGCTATTACACAGCACAGAGTAAGCAGCCAGGCTGTGGCCTCTGGCTTCTCACCACTATGCAAAATTATAATGAACATTCACTGTAATTTTAGGATCCTCCTTTGAATCAGAGTTTGATATCCTGCAATTCCTTCAAGATTTTTTTTTTCTTTAATCAGCTCAGGGCAGGATTTTCAAAGGGCACTTCTTAAAACTCCTCCCCCTGATTTTCAGTACCCTTTTTCTCATTACTCTCCAGCATTTTTCACTTGGCTGTCCATGACCTTTTGTAGGGCAGTGCAGTCCTCAGGCCTAGCTTGCAGTCCCTGCACAGCCCCTAAAGCCCTGCGTGACCTTCCTCCCCTCCCTCCACCTCACTTCTGCCTCTGGAAATGAGAGAGAGAAAGATGCTTCTCTCCAGCCCTCTGTAGCGAACCCTGGAAACACCAGAGAAAGTGTGTATCACCTTATTGCTGGAAGCTGAAGGAAAAGTCCTTTAAAAAAACAGCCCAAAGCTGAGCTCAATTTCATCTGGTCTCAGCTGTTGTTAGAGCAATATAACATGTCCCCAGTTAGCAAAGACGTGTGCAGGAGCATGTGCAACCCTGCCAAGCTGCAAGCCACTGGGCAAAAGTCCATGCTCTGCATTGTGCCAAAGTAATGGAAAGTATAAGGAACAGCATGGTTTCATGTGACCGTGACTGTGGCATTTGGATTCAAATCAAATGCAAGGTTCAGAAGGTGCCAAGCAGTATGAAATGAAACTAATCTCAGAGACGGAACAAAGATGTTTTATATAACTTCGTACAAATTCAGAGGAGGAAGGAAGGACAGAAAGCTGCTGAGCTTCACAGATAGTACCCCAGTCCACATAATGCCATCTACCCTTAAATCTTTGCAAATATAAAGGAGCTATAAAGGGACTAAGAAAAAAACAGTCATGTCTCTCAAACCCCTGGAGAAAGAGCACAAAATTAAATAATCTAGCCTAAAACATTCCCTTAGAGAAGGTCAGATGACACTGTAGGGGCTTAGCCAGCAGGCAACAAGCACTGGAGAATGTGGGATCAGTCAAGTCAAAGGCTATGGATAAACCCTCCAACGTTAAACTGATGACAGGGCATGAGGTTTAATGACAACAGGGTTATGAAAGACTTAATCAGGTTTCTGTCATTTGAATAACCAACTTTAAATCATGAATGACGAGGGTCCACCTGATATTAATGGGGAAGGAATTACATAAGTGTGACTCAGAAAAGTACATGCCAGATGCTGAACAGTGGGGGCTGAAAGTCAGAGCTGTAGCATGATGCTAAGCAAGCAGGGCAAGGAGAAGTGGAAAACATCATTTCCTACATCAGGCGTTTTGTGTTGCCTTTATGCCACCTTCTACTCCATGAATTACAGATGGAGAGAGAAAGAATAAGAGTCTCTCTCAGATAAGAAGCAGTTAAAAACACAGAAAACCAAATCAGACTTTTGGCCTTCTTGATGAAAGCAAGAACATCCAAGGAAGTCTGACCCGATAGCATTGATGATAGGAAAAGAATTACAGAAATTACTCTTCTCCTCTCCCCATGAGCAGTAAATGTGCCTGAGGCTCTGCTCTCTGCTCTTGGCAGAGGATGGTCAGCCCCCACCAGGGACCCCACTTCTGCAGTGCATCGCCCACCCGGCCCCCTCTGTGGATGTCGTGGGATGAGCAGGGTGGCTAGGCAGGAGGGCGATGCCTGCGAGCAGCTGCAATTGCACTGGTGGTCACGGTCTCTGTGTGCTTTGGAGCCATGGCTGAAGGTAACAGATAAAACTCCTGGTGTTTCAGGAACAGACGTTTAATGATGGTGCCTGGAAGAAAACGGTGTTCAGCTCTAACATACATTGCCAGCCTGTGCGTCACTTGTGCTGCTACGCTGTCACCTTGAAATCTTGCCTGGCCGTGCGGCTTGTAGAGAGAATCTGCAGACTGTAGGAGCCTAATGGTTTCCAGAGGTGGCTTGTTGGGAATTAATCGCGTTCGACTCAACATCTCTCTCTCAGCCGGCAGCACTTTCACACCCTGGCAGGCACTCACTTCGCAGACTGAGAACGGACCTACCCTATTGTCCCTGCTAGGAGAGGGCCAGTGGACTGGAAACTACTGTTCCTGAGACGGTGTTATTGTGGACGAAGGGCTTTATTACTCAGGGCTGTCTTGTATTGCTTTAACGTCACATGTGTCTGTTGCAACGGTGTGCCGAATGAAAATATAGACAGCCTGGTGTTGCAGCCTCTTACTGTCTGTGTTCATTTACCGTTCAGGGTTCATTCAAATCTACTCTGCTTTTACTCAGAGGACCAGTCCATCTAAAGAGCAAAGCCATTCTCGGCCAGTGGTTCAAATCCTGCCCGCCACTTTCTTGAGCTAGTAGCAACATGTTGTTGGTGTCTGTCCATAACGGAGTATCGCCTGTGTTTTGCTTTCCTCCCACCTGTAATAGTCACTGAGTATCCACAGACAGCACCAAGTGGCAGCAATAACAAGAGCTGTCTTAGGGGAGAAATGCACTTCCCACTGCTTTCAAAAGGGGGTTTCTTTGTAAAAGAGCAAAACTGCTTCAAGTCCCTTTCCTTGTAAAACACTTGAGTGGGATAGATATGTAAGTGATACATATGTCTGTATGTTTCTGCCCTTCCAGACCGGAAAGTCTCAGAGATGAGTCCATGATTCTTAACATATGACTGACAAAGTGTCATATTTTAATGAGAACTGAGCCATTTTATTAACATTTTCTGCTCATTCCTCTTTTTGCCCCCTGCCTTCCCAAGGCACCATCTCTCCTGGGCACTCTCAGTGCCTTGACACCAAGGTTGAGATCTCAGAGACATGAGGTTTCCCTGTGGTGTCGTGACATGAAGCAGCAAGGTGAGGAGAGGGAAAGGCTGTCCCTGCCCGCTGGGAGAAGGGCTACACTGTGAAAACATCCCTTGTTACACACCAGAGCGCTCACATAGGAGAGAAGACACATGAATACCCTTGCAGCAGGATGAGCACCCGTAGAGCTCAGCCCACACCTGTTTGTATGCAACTGAACTCTGAAAAGAAGAAATTCCCTGAAGTGATATGATGACTCTCCTTGGACCTCAGCAGGTGTGGAAGCAGCACGTCTGGGACACTGAACATCTCCTTCCCCTGTCAGCACATTAGTCTGGTGTATGAGAACATGCCTTGGGCCACACAGAGGTGTTGTGGATAAAGTAAGTTCCTGGTTTTGCCACTGGCTGAACGTGGAATGTTGGAAACGTCTCATCCCTGGGCTTGTGTTGGCTCTTAAATGCCTTCCACCTCTCTTAGCGCCTTGGCTTAGATCCCTCTTACTCGACTTATATGCATTTAATAGCTGGATGTCTACGCTAAGCTAGTCCATGAGGGTCCATCTACAGGAGAATGAAAGACACAGTTGTCCCCAGTGGGATCTTATGGACAGTGAACCACCTTCTGGAGGTGCCAGTCTTCTGCACTGACTATAGAAAAATCTGAGGTGAGTAGCTTGGACTCTGTTCTGCAGACCTCAAGTTCAGTCAAATGACAGCCACGTTTGGAGCACCAGGCCTGCCTCTTCTCACACATTTGGATAGCATCCATACATTTGGACAATGGGAACTCAGTCTCAGCAGGGAGCCTGCAGATATCAACAATGGATGCAATTATGGGGAATAAACATGGGAATATATGCTCTGAAAAAGAAAGCTTTCCTCACAGCACTGCAGTGAAAATAGCAGAATGGAAAGGAACTAATTCTGTTTCACCTAATTGCTCTCCATTAATCATCTTTCAGCAGCAAGCTTGACTAGTCCACCAAAGGGACAATTAAAGCAAAGGGAGGCTGAGCCCTGTTTGTACTCAGGGCTGTGTTTTGTATTACAGGCACTGTAATTTGTTCCAAGAGGGTGGCATCTCTTTCCTTCCCAAGCAGAGAGGACTATCCACGCCTGTCTGGCTCCAAGCCTTGCCATTATTGCTTCAGAACATCCATGCCTCATTGACTGGTATCCTCTCCAGCATGGTGTTTTGCTGTCTAACGTGAGATACAATGCTGCAGGTAAAAGCTGGGTAGTGGAAGAAGCACAGCAACAGACAAACAAGGTCATGAAACCTGCAAATCAGTGGCAAGTGCGTATGTATTTGTTTTTAAAATCCCATATTACAATGAACACAGAACTCCTTCAATGCACGGCCCATTAAAATCCCTCCTTAGGGTAACATTTTCTGACACTTTCCCTGGGTTTGCCCTTCTGCTCGGTGCCTGTCCTGCTCTGAGCCTTCCCCACCAGCTACCACCACCCCTCCTGCGCACACCCAGCCCTTGCCCCGTAGCCAGACCCCCCCGGCAGAGTGGCCCAGCCCCTGGCCACCTCTCAGCCCTGTTTCCCCCTCCTGCATGTCATCCCATGAGGACAACACCGGGCTGCTCTCCCACCTATGAGAAACAGTGGTTACCTGCCATGGAGCTCTGGTTTCCCTCCCAGGGCTCACCACCACATGGTGGAGGGCTCTGGCTGGGTGCTGCGTGCCTCAAAGTCATCCCCGGCCCAGCGGCAACCTCCTGCCCAGCCAGTGCCCGCCGGGGAGTGGCACCAGGCCCTGCGCACACCCATCCCTGCCGGGCGCTGCCGCTCCCGGCTTTCCTTCCCTGTTTGCTTTCAGGGTGTTCGTCTCTGCTGCTGTTGGGAGCAGCCGGGCGGTTGGTCTCGCACTGCGGTTCAAGGAGGTGCGACGGAGGAGAGCTGGAGGACGCCGCCGGCTTCCCCACAGCACGTTCACGTTCCATTCCTCCCCCTTTTACTTTGCAAGGCACTAGAGGTATTTTTGCTCCCTCTTGTTTTCCCTCCTGTTCCCTGCCTCCTTCTGCCCCCACCGCCTGCTAAGCCTTGGCTCCCCGGGATCTCTCTCTGGCAGGCGGGAGGGAGCCATGCCCTACCTGTACCGGGACTCGAAGCCGAGGCCGCCTGCGCTGCCCGGGGCCGCGCGTGCCACCCACGGCTCGGGGGGGGCCCA